CTAAGATTTTTTCTTTAAAAATTCATTCCAACTTTCGATTAACAACGCTACAGCTTAACAGTTAGTGTTTGCTTAATTAATTTTTTTCTCAGAAACTATTAACTTTTCGAAGAACATCAGAGAGGCAAAAAAGTTTTAGAATATTTTCGTCTATCTAAATAAAATATTTCCAATGTATTTATCATCGTCATAAAAAAGATCTAGACAAAAATTGAACGGGGGTGGTTATGTTTAGTAACTTAGAAGGGAAGATTGAAAGTACAAATAGGCTCGAAACATGCCCTATTATAAGCTAAACATATTTCCCAAATTTCATTTTCTTGGTGTTAATGGTTTTCGGGAAAAATAAAATAAACCAAAATTTTTCGCCATTTTTGAAGGGGCGTAGCTCCGCAGGGGAGTCGAAATCGCTGATAGTTTATATGAGAAAGTACCCTTAAAATTGCCTAAAGAATCACCCCCTGAAGTTTGGGCACGTCATTCAGATACACCCTGTATATATATTTTTTATTGAGATTTTCTGCTGTGAACAAGTGGAGGGGGGAATCGTTTTGTTACAAAAGTTCCGTGTACTAGTGATTAATACAAAAACTACAATCTAATAAAAAATTTAATTAATAATTTTTTTTAGATTGTACCTCAAAAAATGTCCGAAAAATCATTTTGGGTAAAAGTCCAAGAAGAAAATTTAGCATCAAACGACATCTTACAAGGTCTACAAGAACGTTTCAGTTCAAAACCCGCCCAAAAGAAAACGACGGATTCCGTCGATCGCTCAACACCTTTAGGAACGTTAAAAAAATCGCGAGAACTCAAAGTGTTAGATGGGAAAGCAGCCCAAAATATCAGCATTTTACTCGGCGGCTCTCTAAAGCATCTCTCGTACGATGCGATCAAAAAATGTTTATTAAAATGCGACGAATCCGTTTTAACAGAGAACGTTTTAGAAGGATTAATCCAATATTTACCCCCACCCGATCAATTACAAAAATTACAACAACACAAAAACTCAATCGACGAATTAACAGAGGCGGAACAATTTTGTGTGAAAATGTCCGAGGTGAAACGATTATTACCTCGATTAAAATCGCTACGATTTAAACAACAATACATTGAAATGGTTAACGACGTCAAACCGGATATAGTCGCTGCGACTGCCGCTTGCGACGAAGTCAAAAAGAGTAAAAAATTCGCGAAATTATTAGAATTAGTTCTTTTATTAGGAAATTATATGAATACGGGATCGAATAACGCGCAAGCTTTCGGATTTGAAATGTCTTTCTTAACGAAGTTGAAAGGAACGAAAGATATCCAAAATAAAAATACTTTATTGCATTACATCGTTGAGACGGTCGAAAAAAATTTCCCGGATATTTTAAACTTTTACGAAGAGATGTCGCACGTCGATAGAGCGAGTCGCGTCTCTTTAGACACGATTCAAAAGACCCTAAAACAAATGGACAGCCAAATAAGGAATTTAGAGATGGATATTAGTAATAATAAGGTGGCCCAAGACGAAGACGATCGATTTATTGAGGTTATGGAGGTTTTCTGTCGCGAATCTAGGGATCAATGTGATATTTTAATGAAAATGTTTAAGAAGGTTGAGAGTTTAAACGACGATTTAGCCGAATATTATTCGTTTGATAAACAAAAATATACTTTGGAGGAGTTCTTTGGTGATATCAAAACGTTTAAGGACGATTTTATTGTGAGTAAATTATAATAATTAATAATTGGTTGTGTATTAATTAATAAAAATTTAGCACGCTTATAAAGATAACGAAAGGGAACGTGAAATAATCGAGAAACATCGCAAAGCTCAACTTGCCAAGGAAAAAGCGGATAAAGAGAAACAAGAGAGGGATGCGCGAAAAAAAGCGATCATCGATATGAATCCAGAACAAACTCAAGAAGGAGTTATGGACAGGTAAGAAAATTGTTTTAAATTACTTCATTTTAGAGATTCTAAGTTTGACAGATTGAGGTTAGGTTAAACTTAAACTTTCTTTAACCTTAACCTGTATTTAGATATTATTCAAGAATCATTAAGTCGCTTAAAAATCGACAAATTTTTTTTAATCGGTGGGAAATTAGTCAAATAAGCTGTTACAAATAAAAAGAAATTGCGGAAAAGTGTAAAACTTGCAGCAAAATCACTTTAAAGTTTCGACTTATTGCTATCAGAAGATTAGATACTGCTAGTAAAAGACTAAAAACTGCTTGGAAAGAAGAAATACAATTAGATACTGCAGAAAAAGACCACAACTTACTTGGAAACGACTTCTAGACCTCTAAACATTGCTGTTAAAGTTTTTGACCTACTTGGACAGGCGGAATATTGCTTTCAAGATTAGTTATTACTTACAAAGACTTTAATAATTGTTAAATCCTGGTGGCAAAGATTATAATCTGCTTGGAAAGACAAGATACTGTCTCCAAAAGACTATTAATTGCTTTCAAAATGCTAAATATTGTTGAAAAGACTACTAATTAACTATTTAATGCTTTCAAAAGACTATATACTGCTGCCAAAACACTACTAAGTGCTTGGAGATTTAAAAATTGCTGCTACAACGATCGATTCTTTGTCGCCCAGATGCGACATATCTTTTTTATCTTTAAACGAATCGTTAATAAATCGTAAAAAAAGGATTACTTCCGATTTAACCGGAAGTTGATGAATTTTAATCCGAATTAAGTCGAATGAAAGGATTTTTAATTTTTAAATCGATTTAAAACGATTAATTCGATAAATTAAAGAAATTATTATTAAAAATTTAATTTAACATCGTTAATAAATCGTAAAAAAAGCCTTACTTCCGGTTTAACTGGATGTTAATTAATTTTAATCCGAATTAAGTCGAATATGGGCTCAAATGAAACGATTTAAAACGATTTATTCGATAAATTAAAGAAATTATTATTAAAAATTCAATTTAAAATCGTTAATAAATCGTAAAAAAA